GAACCACGAAGATGCACTGGTTCACACAAAGCAGAGATAGTCTTCTAAGACTCATATGAGGACTTTCAAAAAGCTGGGCAAAGGAATTTTGAACTGGTTGTTAGAATTAACCATGTAAATATGTTAAACTCGGGAAAGTTCTCAGAAGTAGAGATGTAGCATACCTGCATGAGTCTTGGCACAAAGTCATATATTAGTAGATCGCGCAAACCAGCATCAACAATAGAATCTTCAGGAAAGTTCTCACATATCTTCCATCAAAAGGTTTGAGTTCAAGAAGTTAGTTCATAGTGTATGATTTAATGCACATATATCAACTATTGGGACTCCCCTAAAAAAATACACAGCTCTCCTGCATGTTTACTATACAGATACAACTAGTGAGAGTTTTATAGTCCATGCTCAAAACTAAGTAGCAGGAGTAGTGCATTACCTTGTAGATAGTTTCTGCAGCACCTTCCTTTTGGTTCAGGTCTTGACTATCAAAGCACAGTCTCAGAGTCTCAAACAAGTCAGCCCATTTGTCAAACCCAACAATTTGAAGAAGTACACTTATAACAGTGCAAGCTGTTGATCTAATTTGCTTATGACGTGTACCAATACAAGTCAACAATTCATACTTGACGTACTTTTGGGATGAAGGAGGCATAGCATTAAAAGCCAATTGCAAATTGTTTTTAAGCAATAGACCAGCAGCTTGCCTTAGTTCAAAAGATATGCCCTGCAGGAGATATATCAAGATGTCAGTAAGATCCCTGAGATCAGAAGATCAACAATCATAAGTGCAGAAGATTTCTGAGAAAATTATGATGGAAATTTTGTAGTCCTTATTAGTTCAGAAGATTCCCAAAAGAAATTGCAGATAATGTAGTTGTAAAAAGTATGAGAAGCTTACACTAGTAGTTGTTTGTTCATTCATATTCAGGCAACTGCTCTTATAATACTTTACAGAGGGAGTACCAGGCTACCAGCCAATTGACTGTGAACAGTTTGCTCACATCTAATAAATTTCGGTGCATGCTAGTCCATATAATAAAAGAATTCTTGTGCAATAAACATCAGATTAATCATATTTTTGTTAACAGAAGACGACACATTCGATATGCAAAGTGAACAGCTTTTTGCTTCAATGTGCTACTTCCCATAAATTTGGCATTTTAGTGCATGTAAACAAAAGTTATGGTGTAACAAGTTGTAGAAGACTATGGTTTTTATTGCATAAGCGAGGTAGCTTCATTAGCATCAGGGAGCAATTCACACAGTTACAGTACTTACAAAAGCCCTTGAATTCCCTACAAAAAGCCTTTGAATTTTCTAAAAAAAAAAGAAGGCTTTGAATTGCGTATGCTTAGAGAAGTAGACTTGTTATGTTAATGCATGATTTGCTTGCCTAAATAGAGATTTGCACATCCGCCAACTTGCAATTACACCTGAAGTTTTCAGCCCTGCATTCTTTGGCCTGTTTTCACCAACGTTTGTGGTGATTAGTCAGTCTTTTGCATGCATTATTAGGTCCTGTTTTAAGTTTACAGTGGTAGCACCAGTGCAATCCTCAAACTATCCCATCCTCTACAGAAATTCCTCACTTGCAGTTCATACACATCAACACTTGCAGATGTTAACAGCTTGTGGCTGCAATAACTGCTCCTAGGCTACTCACATCTTATGATTCCCCATCATGCTCAATGTCGAGGACACTACTGCCCCCCTCAACATTCTCTTGCTGGGTATGTTGAAGATAAAGGAGGGAAATGCGATCATCATTGGGAATAGTATAGAGAAACTTATTCCCAGAGCATATAGTAGTAATTTGAAAACTAAAAGCAATAATAAGTACGTAGAACTAAGTATAGGGACTAGGCAGGGGCATGACATAATAGAATCAAATGACAGAGGGAGTTGAAGGTGAAGGTTTACCTTTTCGTGGGCGAGAAGAAAAGACTAGATAAACATGGAAGTTGGGGAGCTGACTGTAGTAGTGGAGCTGCTCCCAGTTGCGAGCTTGGTTAGAGTCTATGGAGGAAAGGGTCTTGATGAGAATAGTTATCTCATTGAGCGTCGCAGCCGCTGCCTCTGCTGCTCTTTTCAGCCGCCCAATTATTATTGGAAGTGCATCTCGGTTGAACTTGAGTGTAATAAGATCCTCGCCACATCCTATATGCTCCCAGTTTACATCATCACTTGCAGCAGCGAACAAGACAGAACTCTCATGACCCCAACCATGCACTTTAGCATCCAATGAAGCTCCAACAGTATCAACTCTGCCAATCCTCAAGAGTCGTTTCACCTTTCGTTCCATAGATCTGATTCGCCTGGTTTCAGACAAATTTACCATTGACCAATGAACTGCATTTTGCCTGTCTGCAGTTTGAGTTCTGAAAGTTTTTGGAGTGAAGTTAAACAGATGTTTAAAAGTCGCAGGGAAACAATGA